TTATGTCCATTGGTTATGCTTATATGCATGTAAAATACTTTCAAATGCACTCTTATTTAATATTCAAATACAAAAGTGTTACTGACCAAAACAGAAATATTTTTCTATTAAATTGCCCTATTTTATGTATTTGAGATATACTTCGAATGTGAGTATTTATAATATACTGGTTTTAATTGTATGTTTTCTTTTCCTTTTTCTATGAGTAATAGAAATAAACTGATTAATAATTGGGAAATCCATCCTATCATTTAAGAGGCATATAAACATTTCTGAACCCAGGTATTAAAACTAATAATCCCTGTCATACCCATTGTAGATGATTATAGCATGAATAATATGGTCTCATGTGTGTCAAAGTGTTCATTTATTAATTACGACTAAATATGTGTTAAGCATTTTATAAGGTGTAGGAAAAACTTAATACATTGGGAATAAATCATAAGGAAAAATTAATTCAAATATTATATGTGGAAAGTTTCTTGAGGTCATAAATGGTTTTCAGTTATTGAGCTTTTACTATTGCTAGGCATAGTGCCACATGCCTTATATTCATTATTTCATTTAAGTCTTTTGACACTCTTGGGATGTTATTGTTACTGTCATTTGACAGATGAGGAGAGGGACTCAGAATTTTGTTTTCCTTTAAGTGCCCTTGAGCACCTATTATTTGGCCAATGGGCATTTTGCCCTGCCCTAATGGAATTTATATATTTAGAAGGGAAGACAGACCTTAATCAAGAAATCAGACATATGTATAAATATAACTAGAGGCCCAGTGCACGAAATTTGTGCACCTGGCTGGCGGGAGAGGGGGGGTCCTTCAGCCTAGCCTGTGCCCTCTTGCAGCCTGGGACGCGTTGGGGGATGTCCGCCTGCTGACTTAGGCACCTGCCCTGGGGAATGGAAGTACTGTTTGAGTTGAAATCTGAGAGATGAGCAGGAATTAACAATACACAGTGGGGGTTTGATGGTGGGCATGTACAGGTCCATGACTGCCTAACTGGGAATCAGATAGTAACTCAAGGTTTCCAATCAGGAATGGAGAGCTCACACCCACCTGCTGCGTCTAATTCCTGTGACTTTACTACTGAGCAATGTTAGACAAGGTACCTAAGGGTCTCCCTCCCCCTCTCCCCTGCCCCCGTTTCCTTGTTTGTAAAATAAAGGGGATAATAGTACCAACCTAGTGGTATTTTCTGAGGATTAAGTAAGTTAATGTGTGTAAATTTTTTAGCACAGGATCTAGAAAATGCCAATTATCCAGTAAATCTAACTATTATGAATAATACCAATCGTTCACTGTTAAAAATAAGTTTTAAAAAGTCCTGCCTTTGGTTTGATTTAATAAAAGACAGGAATAAACAGGGAGAGACAGTGCTTCTCCAACCTGTTTAAGCGCTTCCTCCTGTTCTTAGGTCTCTCCTCTAAACCCACCACCCACAAACTCTGACCATGAAGTCCTTGAGCACAAGGACTCTGCCATCTATTTGCTGCCACTTGACATACTACGTGGCTTTAACGGGATGATTTTTGCATAGTGATGATATTTGAAGCCGTAGGAGGGGATGGAATTGCCAAATTAAAAAGCGAAGAGCCTGGTCATGGGAAACACCTGTATTTATTTACAGTGGAGAGAGACTGGGAAGTGGCTGCCAGAAAAACTAGGATAGTTGGTCTCTATGGAGGAAAGTTAGTGCTGCAGGCTGCTCTGAGGTCTGGGAGGACAAGGAGCCCAGAAAAGGGACCAGAGGTGAGGAGAACATTCCTCTTGGAGGCAGCGGTTTCAGTTGCAAAATTCCAATTGCAAAATTAGCATGTAGGTGGCGGTGAGGAAGTGGAAGCAGTTGGGTGCTGAGTGCATGGATTTCCCTTTCAAGAACTCCATGGTAAAGGTAAGCAGTAGGAAATATTACTTTTAATACATTGCAGGCTTAAGAAAGCTTATTATTGTTGTTATTGTTCACGGGGAGTTGGGAATGCTGGTCATGTGAGAATGGAGGAAAGAATTACAGGGCACTCTGATGAATCCGGGTCCTGGGGGCATGGGAAGAGTCTGACTAAACTGTCTGTACTTTCTTTGGTGTCCCGTTTCTGACACTTTGTCAGCCTCTCTGAATTTTCTATAGTTCATAGTGCCCAGCAGTGAGTGGGCAGCACTCACAGGTTAGCTGAAGGAAGAAAGAAATGAATGTGCTCATAGAAAGCAAAGCTCACTTATTTCTGCTCTTCCCAGCTGTCTCCTTTGAAAGCATGTACATTTTTTTGAGGCTTAACTGCCTTTGATAGTTTTATGATAATTTATTTTTTTTAAGTGTGGGCGAGTTGGTGAGTGATCACATTGGTTCTGTTTTATTGTGAGTAAATAGTATGTCAAAGTTTTATGTCGTTTCAAAAATGTTATTTAGAATAAAACTTCCTTTGAAGCCACAATATTCTCTTACTCAAAATATTTATTTAGACCATATTGTTTAAATATATATAATTCCCTTAAGTAACAATTGTAGTGTATATAAATCTGGACTTAAAACAAATAGACCTTCTGGAATTCATAGAAATACAAAAAAGGATAGTCCAGTACTTAAATGTTTATATACAAGAGGAGTTGAGGTGTTCCAATGTTTGTATGCTTAGGTACAAAAAAAGTAGAATTTATAAAGAAATGATGATCTGAGAAGTTTAATTCCCAAATGTGCCAGACACATAAAGTTATTTAGGAAGAGAAAATATTTGAATCATAAGTGAGTTTAGAGTAAGTGAATCAATGATTCAACCAGTGAATAAATAAGTATACATAAAAATAAAACAATTCCACAATCTCTTGATTTATTCAGGTCCTGAATATAGTTATAATTAAAAAGTGTACTTTTAAACCCCAGGAAAAATTAGGCTATTTTTATAAAATAATTAAATGTTATCAAATTAATTATGTAAAATATGTATGTCTTTTGTGCCTGAGTTAGTTAACATATAGTCCTTGAGAGATCATCTCTTTCTGTTGGTCATCCTTTAATTTTGGTAACACAGGGTTTTTGGGGGTTTTTCAGAATTTATGGAAGCTTTTATTATCACACTTCAGATTATGTAAATATTTTAATGCTAAATTCTTGCCATATCTGAATTTATAAATGGATAGTTTGTACAGTGCCTTGTTTTTAGTAGAAACACTGCTCTCTAAACTGTTTTGTTTTGACCGTAGTTCGGTCAAGTTGTGAGTTTGTTAACTAATGATCATGTTTTTTAAAGAAGCTATTTCTAACCTGAGATGGTCTAATATATCATTCAGTCGGTAACTACTGAAGTTGAGATAAGAAATTTTGGGAGAAACATTTCCCCTTATAACCTACACATACATATAGTATTCTTGCCTAGTTAGCATTTCCTTTGGTGTCCTTATTTCTTAATACTAGTTCCTTTAATTACGAATGCATACAGCCAAGTCTGACAACCTAGCTCATATGTAATTGGACTGTTGACAGTGGAAGAGAGACCCTGAAATATCATGCAGATTATACAGTTCAGTATTTCCCTAGTGGTAATAGAGGAGCAAATTAGGGATGGAATTGAAGTAGGAAAGCAGTCTTCAGTGAGGTCTTTAACATCAGAAACTGAATAGGGGCCTATAGATTTAATTGTCATTAGTGAAAGAAAACTATTTTAAACTTGCCCGATCCAAAGCATAGGGAGCAGTAAAAGCCTGTTCAGTCTTGGTCTCTGTAAATGGAATTTGGTCCAATCGTATTAATGAAATCTCAAATCCTGTCTGTCACAAATGAGGCAGTTTATGTAGAACTCCAAATGATTCCAGGAAGATGAGCACCTGGAGGTGCAAGGGAGCATGCTTGGAGGCACAGAATTGCAGTTGCGGGTAGCTCCTCTGCCCCCTCCCCCGCTTTCCCCCAAATCAGCAATCATTGATTACATATGAAGCTGCAGAGAGATCTTTTCCTGGCAGTTCAGGTAGTTACAGTAGATTGTTAATCTGTGAATGATCGGACAAAATCCCTTCTGTCTTCAGAATTTCCATGCAAATTAGAAGGAAATGTATGAGGTAAATTTATTAACTGTAGTCTAGGAGCATAGGTCAGCTTTAGCACACTTCTTCTTAAGTATAGGTTTTTATCCATAAAAAAAGTTACACTTCATTTATGCTAATTTTCTATGGATTCACTTGATAATATAAATTGGTGAGATGATTTTTTAATAATACTTGTAAAGAAATGAAAGATTTTTTAGTGTGTTTTTAAGTTTTCTAAGATACAGTTGGGTTGTTCCAGATATGAAATGTTCCCATAAATGGCTTTTCCTATTCTACATCTGTTCTTAAAATAAATTTAGACTTATTTTCTTGCATCACTGTTGAAATATAGGGAGGGTTGTTTTGTATTTGTCAAAATAGGAATGAAAGTGGAATAAATATATCAAGTGGGGGAAAACAAGGAATTGGGAAGTGATAAATAATACTGGAAGCATACGGTATACTAGGTCTTATTGGGCCAATGGGAGTGTCTTTCAACATGTCTCTGAAAGATTAACGAAGTATTTAAGTGAAACTCAGCAGAACAATAATATTCTAATAACATTTGTATGTTTTGTTTTACTTTCATCAACATTTCACTTGAACATTATCTTGTTTGAATGTATAATTTTTGCATTACTGTCAAATGGATGAACTTACATGGGAATAGCAGCAATTTTTTTTTCCTCTTTTGGATCCTGGTGTTACAAATCCAGCATCTTGTAGGATAAGTCATCCTTTATTCTTACTCTACTCTATGCTTTTCATTTAAAGGTTACACATGAATGGCATGAAATACTCTCTTAGTGAATGAACCTTGTTTTTCTTACATTTTTATGAGATTTTGATGGTATCAAAAACCTCTCCAGGCCCCTCCCAACATGAAGACTTCAAACCTAGAAGTGGTTGCTCCTTAGTAAAATGTGGAAGAAATGTACCTTCGAACAGATGCTGACGCTCCTTTCCCTCCTTTACTTTCCAGGCCATCCGTTGCACACTGGTAAACTGCACGTGCGAATGTTTTCAGCCGGGGAAGATTAACCTGCGGACTTGCGACCAGTGCAAACATGGCTGGGTGGCACATGGTGAGGACAAGCTGGGCCTTTCTTTCTGCTCTTGTTATGTTCATGTGAATGTACATGCTTTTGTAGAGCAATCACTGGTCTGGAGATGAGAGGGGTCAGCTGTGCTCCAAGTGTCAGCAAACATTCATCCTGCAGTTCTCAAATAGCATATTTTCAGCTCTAAGATGTAAGGCTTAGGTGAGCAGCTCCCAACAGAAGGCGGAGATGTTTATAGGACAGCGGGGCCCTGGGATTCTGACCTAACCTCACAGCAGCCAGCAAGCACCAGGCCTGATGGAAACTCAAACGTGCTGCAGTTGGTCTTTCAGGGCCCAGACCTCAGAGGGAAGCTGGCAAATCCTTTCTTCTTGTGGAGAACACCTTGATGACTGCTCACCCTTGGTATATGCCTTAGGGGCTGAGTGTATCCTCCCAGGTGTTAAATGCTGTATAATCTAAGGTGGGTGACAAAGTGAACGGGAACATTGTTTGGCTGGTATCTGAGAAAGTAATCCATAAATGACCCCTTTCAGTGTGTGCTGGGATTGGAGGTGGCCAGGATTGGTGGTGTGTGAGCTCTGTGTGGGTTGTGTGTTGGGGTGGCCAGGATTGGTGGTGTGTGAGCTCTGTGTGGGTGTGTGTTGGGGTGGCCAGCATTGGTGGTGTGGGAGCTCTGTGTGGGCATGTGTTGGGGTGGCCAGCATTGGTGGTGTGTGAGCTCTGTGTGGGTGTGTGTTGGGGTGGCCAGCATTGCTGGTGTGTGAGCTCTGTGTGTGTGTTGGGGTGGCCAGCATGGGTGGTGTGTGAGCTCTGTGTAGGTGTGTGTTGAGGACAAAGGTGATCCAGGCCAAGGCTGGCAGTGTGGAGGCTTTAGCCAGATGCACAGAGCTGTTCCATCAATGTGCCTGCCCTAAGCATTTCACTTGTTCTTATATATGGCTTATGTTTTTTTATGTTTAGGCAAAGGGAGACTGGTAAATAAGTAGAGATATTTTCTTTACTGCCTAGACTATAGAATTTTTAAAGATAGGTAATGTTTAGACAAGAAATTCTGGCTTGAGGTTTCTTTGACAGCCTTTCTAGGTTCTTGAGTAGGCACATTCTTCATTCCCAAGCAGAGCCAAATATCGAGTGGGTTGTGTTTTTATAAATGTCATGTTTTTCTAGCAATATCTGAGGTGACAACACCAGGCTCTGCTTTGAAATGCTTTGCGTTTATCATGTCCCTTGCTCGTTAGAGTGTGTGTCTTGGCCTTGTGGGGACATTTCAGCCATGTTTCTATGAGGGGGAGTGAGAAGAGGTGGACATAGTAGTATGGGGAATATACTGGAAGGAGTGTGCCTGGCAGGTATAGTCACCACCTGTCAGTGCCCCCAGGGATGGAACGCATTCCTGCTTCAAGTAAAGGCCAACATCTGGAACAACCCTCAGGCCAGTTTTGAACAATAGATGAGCTGCTGTTACTTACGCAGTCTACGCTGCGTTTGATACTACATTTGATGACCTCTTCTGTGTCCCTATCTTAGTTTGTTAGGGCTGCCACAACAAAATACCACAGACTGGGTAGCTTTAACATCAGAAACTTCTGGAGACTAGAAGTCCAAAATCAGGGTATTGTCAAGGTTGGTTTCAGTCTGAGAACTCTCGTCTTGGCTTGCAGATGGCTACCCTCTCCCTGTGTCCTCAAATGGTCTTTTCTCTGTGATGAGTCCCATTCACACTTCCTTTTCTTATCAGGACGCCAATCAGATTGGATTGGGGACTACACTCTCCACTGGCCTCATTTTAACTTAATCCCCTCTTTAAAAGCCCAATTTCCAAATTCTGAAATATTGGAGGTTAAAGGCTTCAATCTCTGAATTTTGGGGGAGCACATTTCTAAATAGCACTTTCTAAATATTCTTCTTAACTTGAAGAAGTACTGCTTATGTCCCAAGTTCATCAAGAATCAGGGGGCGGTATTGGGTTAAAACAGCTCTGCAGCTTCAGTGGCATGTAGATCAACATCTCTACATCTTGGGGTATTTTTTATGTATAGTATAAGATTAATAATACTTTGTAGGATTATTATGAGGATTAAGATAAAATATAGGATGCCTTTAAAATAAATGATATATGTTTAAAGTAACAAACTGGACAATGGATGAGCAATAAAGGGGGGGGGTCAGTTATTAAACAAGGGGCTTTTCATTTATTCACTCTGATTTTTTCTAAAGCCATCTTGTGTTACCATCATCTGTCTACTGTGGTTGCCTTGTGAGTATAAACGTTTACTGTGTCACCAGTTTGTTCCATCTCTCCAACTTCCACGTGCATATTACATTAGTAGTAATAGGGGGAAGCAATATTTCTTCCTCCTCGAACAACATAAATTATTCCTGGCCAATGGTTATTTCTAAGGCTTTCTGAAGGATGTAATTTTTCACCAGACTTGAATAAGGGTATTTCTGTTGTATCTGCCTCTGCTTTTCCTACTGTGTCATTAGTAATCCTCTGATTCTGGGATACTACTTTTAGAGTTTCTCAGATTTGACTATCCTTCACCACTATTACCACCCTGACCTCTCTTTTCCCCCGTAACACAGACATGTCTGTGTACTAGTACAATTCAAAATACATGCACACACATTTACAAATCCTAGTCTTCCCCCATTCATGGGCAAATACAACAGTGAGGGATTAGCTTCTAGCTTCCGAGTTGGCAGTGGGCTGAGAGCACCTACTCTTTTTGCCCTTAGCATTTGAACGAACCGCCGCGTTCTCTCCCCACTGTGCAGAAACCCTGAAGTCATGTCTACAGGCAGTTATTTTTGCTCAGAGGTGAAATGCAGCAGTCTTCCTACCTGCCTCCCACAGTGCAATGCCCTATGTGTAAGACAAGGAGAATGTGACTGGTTTTTTCTAGTGAGTGATTTTAGAGGATGGAACAGCAAAAGACTACTGAGATATACCTCATAGAAGTATTTTATCATAGTACTGAACACATTGTACCTTTGCTGTACTGTAAAAAAAATTTCCTATGTTTACTATTAAAAAATAACCAAATGCCAAAACCAGATGATGTTCTCTACAGAAAGAAGAATTTTTAGAAAAATTTCAGCCTCTTTTGAATAACTGTTTTCCTGTATCTCCACTGTTAGCAGCCTCTTTGGTTTCTTTATAAGATGTTGGATTTCATGGTCATTGTACATTATACACACACACACACACACACACACACACGCACACACATGCGCACACACTCATTCACTTCATTACTTTATAAATTGCTTCTCAAACCTGCTTGAATTGTTGACATTAGCAGTGTCACAAAAATCTTAAGAAAAATGTTTTAAAAATTACAACGAGTGGGTGATTAATTTATCATATATAACACCTGGACCCCTTAAAATTACTCACTGGACCCTGATTCTATTCACAAATTACTTCCTTGAAATCTTTAGGACCATTGACTTAAGGGAGTGAGGGGGAGCAAAAAAAAAAGTTCCTTGAATATAAATAGGTATTTATTTCCTACTGAATTAATAAAGGATTTCCTGCCCTTTCCTCCCCATTAGTGAATTTCAACTCTTTTACTTTGATATTAGAAAGCAGGGCTTTATTGTATTTAACTTTATTTAAAACAAGCTTTTTGGGGGTATAGAATGTCCATGCCTGTACTGTATAATAACTTAGTTGGTATGGCAGAAGTAACCTGGAGTTTCTAAGTTTGTCATGTTTCTATTCAGCATTCTTGAATAAAGGACTTGTGCATACTGCCACTTAATTCACTTAACAATTGTATTTTTTCCTCCTCTGTTTTGCATTGTCTTTCCTATGCTTTCCCTTCAGTTAAGTAGAATGATCGAGTGAGTCTTGAAAAATTATTTTTTAAAAAACATATTTGCCTAGCTGGCATGGCTTAATGGTTGAGCATCTACCTATGAACCAGGAGGTCACGGTTCAATTCCTGGTCAGGGCACATGTCCAGGTTGTGGGCTCGATCCCCAGGGTGGGGCATGCAGGAAGCAGCTGATGAATGATTTTCTCTCAGCATTGATACCTCTCTCTCTCTCTCTCTCTCTCTCTCTCTCTCCCCCTCTCTCTCTCTCCCTCCCTCCCTCCCCCCCCACACACACCTCCCTCCTCTCTCTCCCTCCCCCTTCATCTCTGAAATCAATAAAAATATATTTTTAAAAATACATATTTTACAAGTTCTTGGTTCAAAAGTGCCAAATAAGACATCAGGCTTCTTTTCTGGTGACATAGATGTTCATGTTGGTAGAAATTCAGTTGGTTGTGTGTTGACCCTTTCCCACCACACTAGAGTAGTTATTCTTCCATTCGCCGAATTAAAGCTTCAGCCAAGGAGTTCACAAAGGCTTAGGAGTTAGTAAGTGTCACCATGTACACCCGGTGATGTGTAAAGGTGGGGCAGGAGGAAGAGTGCTCCCACCTCAGCGTTTTCCCAGAAGGAATCTGCTCCAAGTGGGAAGTGTTACAATAGGACCTCCTTGCCTTGGTGACAAACTGGAGGTGTGGTGAAAGGTTAAGAACTGTTGTACTGAATCATTTTTGTTATTATTTGAAAACTAGAGGCCCGGTGCACGAAATTTGTGCAGGGGGTGGGGGTTCCCTCAGCCCAGCCTGCACCCTCTCCAATCCAGGACCCTGTGGGGGACATCCCTCCCACAATCCTGGACCACTGGCTCCTAATTGCCCACCTGTCTGCCTGCCTGGTCGCTCCTAACTGCCCCCCTCTGCTGACCTGGTCACCCCTAACAGACCACCCTGCCGGCCTGGTTGCCTGCAACTGCCCCCCTCTCCCGCTGGCCTCGTAGCCCCTCACTGCCCCCCCTGCCAGCCTAATCTCCCCCAACTGCCCCCCCCCGCCGGTCTGGTCACCCCTAACTGCCCCCCTGCTGGTCTGGTCGCCCCCAACTGCCCCCCCCCCCTTGCCAGCCTGGTTGCCCCACCCAGCCTGCTGTTCAGTTGTATGGTCGTCCCTCACTAACCCCCCTGCTGACCTGGCCATAGGCAG